AGACAAAAATTGTTGGGAAGGATGAGATAAAAAAACACAATTGAACTCTACAACCGATTTTATTCCAGGTTAAATAGTTCACTGTATTGTACGATATACAGTATCTTTATAACAGATAATTTTTAGGAATACTGGGCAGATTAAGACAGTTGAGCTGGATTTCGATGTTCAAGCTTCTATCCCCCATTCCGCATAAAGTTCAACAAATTTATTCCAAGAAATCATAGTGACACAGAGTACAGCAGCACAATTTTCACATCATCACCAAAGCTAGCGTTTAATCAAGTCGAGGATTTAACTGAGAGAAAGAAGGCCGACTTAAGCGAGGAATCGACTTGAATCGGACGAGTAAAAGCTAAATTGAAAGAACAAGATGCCGGGAAGAAGTCCGGCAGCTCAATTAAAAATAAGAATAAAATTTGAAGTCAGGGTACGAAAGAATGGTCAAGAAACCCGGAGCGGGTCTGCGGGATATTTTTCAATAAACCGTTCAAATTACACTGCAGATGGCTGCGGAAGACGGGAAGCTTTTTTAATGTGTGTGTGTGGGTTTCTTCTTCTTTTTTTACAAAACAGGCAAAAATGAAGACTGTTAACCGGGCCATCAGCGCTGAAATTTGAAAGTTGCCCAGAACTCATTTGGAACGTGGGCAGACCGGCGGCGATTTACCTCCAGAGCCTCTCGCGAAGGAGTAAGCAATTATCACTGCTATTCAAATGGGGCCAAACCGGCCGCAGCAGAAGGAAGCAAAACGATTAGACCTCGGACAGCGATGAATGACGTACCAGAAAGTTTTCTCGCCTAGGCCTACTGACCACCGGGGGCAAGAAAAAGCGATTTTTTTTTGTTTTACTTCCTTCTCGGGTGACGGAAAAACGTGGTTGTGTACCGGATGTTCCCGTTACAGTAGCTCTGACCTAGAAAAACACGCGATCCCCCCTCTCAACATGCGTGATTTTTGCTGTCCTCCCCTCATTCACTTTGAACGCAATCTGGTTTCACGCACTGAAGCGTCCCGTAGAGGCAAAATACGAGGGAGAAACAGGAACGGGAGTCAGAAGCTTTCTTCCTTTCTTGTTACTACCCCCATGGATATTCCTTGCAAAAAGTACGAAAGCGAACTTTCGAAACGAATACATTCAACGACTTATTATTACAGAGTCCGACGGTAGCGCTGAATTGGAACACGGATCAACTTCACGAAATAAAGGGAAAAAAATGCGAAAGCCAATAACTATTTGTTTTCCCCGTACGCCAAGAGAAAATCGTAAATGCACGATTTTTCTGTGCAGTGCAATGTATTATAATTTCAGTTGACGCGTTTGATGGTTTTTCGTTGGAAAAAATTGGAACAGACACCTCGAGTCCGAATGTGTTCTAAATCAGTGTTCCCAGACCTTTTTTGCTTGCGGACCGGCAAATTTTGACAAAATCTTTTGCGGACTGGAAAATTGTCATGGAATTTTCTGCAGACCAGCAAAGTTCCATACCATTTTTCAAGACCAGGAAATTTTTTAAATACCTGCCATGAGTCCTCAAGACAAAAATTGTATTTCAAAAAATAAGTGAAGAACCGATAAGCAGCTATTCTTTAGAATATCTTAACAAAAACAAAGAACAAAACAAAAAGGGCTGAGCTTCATGAAAGGCTTCTCAGATTTTAAACTGAAAATAATATATTTCAGGCGAGTGAAGACATGGCAGAAGCATGAAGTTTAATAAGAAGAAAAGCTAACTTATTTTTCTCACATAATGTCAACTTCCATTTTATTCCCCCAAAATTTCGGATAGTTAAGGATAACCGGCTTCATTACTACCTTCTACAAGTTCATCATGCCGAAAAAGTTTTTCCCGCGGACCGGCAAAAAATTTCTGCAACCCAACTTATAGGGAACCCTGTTCTAAATGGTATGGGGTATTACTGCATCAGCAGAAAATTAATTCAAGCTAGCAAAAGATTGCGAGAAACATCACGTTGATTCGGTATTGATTCTCGTTCTTTTCGCATAACATTTCCGGGAATTACGGCAATCAGTTTGTGTGAAAACACTGCAAAGACCTACAGTGCTCGAAGACTGCGGATCATTTCCAAGCCAACACAATCAAATACACGCGCATGAATCTCTCAAAGGCGTCAGTCACACATTCGCCACCGACCACAGATCCACTACCCGACAGACGCCACTGCCAAAAGAAAAAGCTTGAGTTTCCTCGCCAAGCGAACAAAACACAAAAAACACAAACGCAACCTACTCACACAACCCGGTCGCAAAGCACAACGTTCCCATGATAACCTACTCATTAGAACCCGGATTCTTCCGTTTCAAAACCCCGAACGCAACGAAGCATGTCCTCGGTACCATAGAACCAAGAAACTAGAACGGATGAACGGGAAGTTACATAAAACAACTCGGTCGGTCGCTTACGAAGTAAGTTTACCACTTCTTGATGACTTGGACGTAAAATTCGTGATGGGTTGGTGAAGAGTCCGACCGCTTCCGCGTTCACAGATGAGATTTCACCGGTGTGTGAGCAATAGGCCAGAAATGAATGAATAAAAATCACGGCACTGTGATGAAAAAATGATGGAGAATGAAAGAGAAGAACGACGAAAAAATATTTCGCGTCCCGGTGTCACGAAACTATCGCTGAAAGCGCAAGTAAACTGGGGCATTGTTTGCCCAGCGGGCATCAATCCCCCCGACGTTTCAGCCGAGTGAAAACAACCCGATTGGATTTTCCGGCCCAACCACACAGAGGTAAAGAAAAAACAGGAAGCACCCTCAAAATCCCGACGCCGATTGTCTGAGATTTAAAACTTCGGAAGAAACAACAGAAAAATACCGACAAGGGCTGGCAAGTTTAGGGAATCCGTGGCTTACTCGCCTTAACTGGTCGTTTGCGGTGATATAGAGAGATATTGTGCACGCCAAACATGTTTTAAAAAATTGGATTTTCCCAAAAAAAAAAGCCTCGTAAATGCGGTGGAGGAATTCAGCACACGTAAAACACGAGGGATGGTCCTTAAATTGAGGCACTTCCCGTCACCGATGACGATTGCGTTTTTTTTTTTTTTTTTTTTCATTTCTTATGTACAAGATTATTCGCCTGTCCAACTTTGCCTCCTTTAAAATTTTCTTTATTTTAAAAATCCCTCTCATTTCTTAAATCTCACTCAAAACATATGTAAGATCCCTCGTCGTGAAAAGGAAGAAGCAAATTTTTATACGCCGTATGCATGCTTTTTCTGCAATCGTAGCGCCTGCGACAGAGATAAGCATGAAAATCTGTTCATGAGTTGTCAGGTTTTTTTGCGAAAAGCTTCGTTTTGCACGCTCAACCCTCGACAGCAAGCAAAAAGTACGACACACAATTTTTCAGTCTCATTCGGTGTCCATTCACCATAAAACAAAATCGACAAAATCGAGAAAAACAAAATCAGCCTTTTCTGCGAAAATTGTCGGCACCATGCGCGAAAATCAGAAACCAAAACGCACCATCGTGTGAACAACTGAGCATATTCCGAATACCTTCGATGAAGAATTTTCTCACCATTACTGAATGAAATACGCGTCGCACTTGGACGAAATAATTCAAATTAAATGTTATATGAATGAATTTGACATGAATGTGAAGGATGCCAAGAAAAATTAAAAACGCAACTTCAACGGATAAGTTCTGAACTCGTAAATTTTCCGCGTGCAAAATCACGAACAGATCCCGCAGTGTTCAGGCGAGGAAAATGAAAAAAAATAGATCAGAAAAAAGTGTTTTACTGAAATACTTCTCAAAAAAATATTCCATTGGCTGAGTACATTCCCAATTTCGGAAGTAGTAAGCGGGATAAAGTAATCCATCATCGAATCATTTAGATTAGAATGAACGATGAGGTAATTTGGGTATCTTAGATATGGAAATCCGAACGATTCATGAAGAGTCTGTTCCTTAAAAGGGAACATCCGCTTGGATATGTGGGTTAAAAACTCCTTCCCGTTAACATAAATGATGCATGTACCTTTTTTATTGCAACTAGAATGGTCTCGTACAGGAGAACTTGAATCAGAAGCGAGAAATCTTCATTCCAAAAGAGAAATTTGCAGTGAAGCCTCAATACTGCATCATAGCTGCGAGCTTTCTAATGAAAGCAGCAGAACCACAAACTTTTCTAGTTCAAAAATCTCTGTTCCGGAAAATTTCTAGCACGAAAAGTGAGCTTTTCAATTTATATCCCAACCAAGGAGCTCATCGAAGCGTTTCATTCAACCGGAAACTACGGTACTCAGATTTTCAAATGTATAGACGGGAGAGAAGTTGGAAAGTGGGAACCAAGATTTAAAAAAAAACTAGGACAGGTTCTTGAAAACGATTGTCTATCATCACCTTTTAAGCTTTAAACCTTATCCAATGCAGGTCACGCACATATTGAAGCAGGAATATGATCCTACAATTAGCCAGAATTTAAATTTCGGATTGTCACGACATTTCAGACGAAACATCTTCGGACGTTTCCGAAATCAATCTCGCACGCCCATTTTCGAGAGATAATGAGCAGTGATGAACCTTAAGCAATATTTTTGAAATCAGGTTTAAAATCAAACTAAACTGAGAACTTCACGCATTGTCAGAACAAGGATATACTGTACTATTCAAGGGTTGGTTCACATTTTGTTACTCCGTTGCTAACCTCTTGTTGAGCGGATGCACATTAATTTTTACCAGAAATATGTTGCTCCGTTGGAACACAGAGAATAGTTGAAAGAGCCACATCATTACCACGAGGAAATAATTTTTGCCAACCACGTGTGCTCGTTTTGGACAATTTTCAGATCTGTCTACCATGCTTCAATGAAGAGGATGCTCTAAGCTCGGCATTTTTATTTCTCGTCATCCTGAGCACGTCATGTATGTATGTATTTCTTTGATTGAAAACAGAGACGAAGTGAACAAAAACAATAATTACTAAGTTACCAGAATTCTGATCCGTCTTACATCCCCCTGTTCAAAATGCTAGACCAAGACTGCACATCGCCTGCCCAGAAATTTCGTAACGCGCCCAGTCTCGGCCGTGAACCACGCACTGGCTGTGCTTTCCCTGCACGGGTACCCTGGCCTCGACGAGGACCAACACTCGGTACCCGGCTAAGGAAGATGGGGAAAAAAGCGGAATGAGAGAGAGAGGAGCAGCAAGAAAACATCTGCGGGAAATCGTGGGGGCAAAACTGATGGGAGGCCCCCACCCGGCACATCGGCGAGCTTCAATGGGACAGGTAAAAGGTAGACAGACTCAAGGTCAAGTTCACGTTACACAAAGCGAATCCGCACAAAATTTCTTCTCGCGCGGGAATAACAAGAAACTCAGCGGCCCAAGAAGAGAAAAGAATAGCTTTATAATTCACCACCACCGAGAACCCAGAAGGAAGGAAGGAGATGCGGCATTGAATTCTTTCCTCGAGAATAAGAAACCAAAGCACCTTCCCCTCGACATTCGGTCGGACCCGAAATGTTATTCATTTTCTCGCGCTCAAAACATTCTAGTTCCCCTCCGTTCTCACATACAACCTGGGGTTATTCGCATAAGGTAGCGAGCATTGCCTATGCCGGTGGTGCAAAAAAGCAATCGGTGGGCATGGGAAACAGCCACCCGGTTCACTGGTACAGTTTTACTACACAGTACAGTAAAACCTCCCAGGGGTTTCGGGAAATGGCAAAAACATGGCAGTCACACGTTTCATTCCGTTTCGCGCAAGAAATCGAGAAATGTTTCCAAGGTTTCCAGCGTTGCACATGAAAAAAATCACTCAGCAGCAACTGCTTTATTTAAAATGAAGTCCTACAACCGGAAACATATCTTGATTCAATACGCGTCCAAAGTTTCATAAACATTGCAAATCAGGTCTCTTATGAAGGAAAATAGAACATATGCGAAAAAAAAAACCGTGGGCGTAATCCCTTCACGCAAAAACCCCACATCTGCATTTTTAAAAAGGATCTCGAGATTCCAGCTCACGTTTCGCAGCATTTCACGCCGTTAAATTATTTCTCAAGGCGCAGTCTACACCTAAAGCAATCATCTCTACAAACATTAACGCATCGAAGTGATCACCTGAAACTACAGGGTGGTGCAATCTCGCTTCAGGGCAAGGTGAAAACTTGAAATGGCTGCGAACATTTGGCGAAACTCTCCACCTGCGAGCCCCAGTCACGCTTTAATAAAGCAGGTGTTTATCTATGCTAAATCATTTCGGATAGCAGGTGAGCTCAGTGAAAATGAAGATAACTTGCCCAATGAAAGCTAATGCTATCAAGACACAACTCATCTGGGTTACTATAATCCACCTGGGGAACGTTATTGGATTATTCAAAAATATACGTGATCGATTCCGGGTTACAGACGATATTACGGATATGTCTAACCAAAAACTCACCTCACAATTTTTAGTTTAAATTGGAGGGATTCTCAAGTCCCTCTGTAATTTTAGTTCATCGACGCAATTAGAAAACCTCCCGACAAACGGAAGCGTTGCAGTCACATCCGCGCCCGCCAACCCTTTGCCAACCACCCAACGACTGTTGGCCGAAAAGCCCCCCAAAATAAATGGAAAAAAAAAATAATAAAAACCCAAGAAAGGTCAGGTAAACAAAGAAACTCACAATGAAGAAGTACAACGTCCGTAGGTGTGTTCGAGGCAGCCAGGGCTTGAGCGACAGTTGCCGGCGGAGACCACAAACTCAAACTGTTCTTCCTCGTGTTCTTCACCATGACAACACCTCCCCCGCCGTCGTAACGCATCAGTTCGGCCGAGTTAGAGGAAAATTACTCACTAATATGCTATACATACACACAGAACCACTCGTTTTTTTTTCTTTGCTTTTCACGATCAGAGGGCACTATGACACTGAGAGTGCGTCAATTGCGCGAGTCCCTTTTCTCCCTTGTGTCGAAGTTGCTTATCGGGATTTCCTTCCGTCCATCAGTCAAGTCAGCCACTAACGGAGCCAATAAGTTTTCCGCAGCTGGTTGAGTCACATCAAAATCGCTCTTTCGGCGCTGTCACCGCGACACTTGCGTCTTGTCTAGCGTTCATCAACACGCAGTGAAGTGACTCATAACGTCAACAGCGCGAGTTCAGTTGACAATATCAAAAACTACGCCTTGTCAGAAACGAAACGCCGAGTTTCCGTCAGTTACACGACAGAAATAAACGCATAGAAACGAGATGAAACTCATGCATAGGATTAACTTCTCCCACCGATGGAAACAAGCTGAAATATTGATAACTGCGACGACTGGTTGACAAGTGTTGTCAGTGAATTACTTTGGAATGATTCAACAGATCTTCTTGGATTTAAAAAAAAGTTTCATTGTATAACCCCCTCGGTAAATGAAAAACATCCATCCTTTTTCTTTCAACTAGCTTCAACAATTTTGAATAGTGAATCCGTCATCAAAAAAAAAGGAACAATTCTTAACATGTCTGTACTTCTATCAGGAAGGTTCTTTGGTTACTCGAGGAACTCCGCCAAAATTTTCTCAATCGAACGGATGAATCGAAATACAGTATTAGAACTGCAAACATTTTATACATTTTCAATGGATTCCCTTCAATTGCAGCAGAAGGAAAACTTCTTGCTCACCTTTTACAACCTTGGAACACTCACAATAATATCAAATATCTACTTCCTCATGCTTATTATCATTATTGCCTGCACAGGTTTTCAATTTTCTTGGAGTACTTCTCTGGTATTGTATAATTTATTATCACACCTAATTAGGAGATGCAAATGGGACGGATGAACACAAAGACAAGGCGCACCTTCAACTCTGTCTTTTGTTTTTCAATCCGGGAGGAAAAAATTGAACATGCAATTCAAGGAATCATTGGGCATCAGTGATATAAACTGCCATTCACCTTAGTGAATTTCCCTTGATGGAAGTGAACGAAGAACTGAGAAAACTTGTGAACCAGCCCTCGGATATTCTGCGCTACTTCATACAATGAGTCATCTAGCAAAAAGATAACGGCCACTTTCTTCCCGGGAGCGTAGACTGAGACTAAATGGCTCACGTAGTACGCGTCCGAGACTGCAATATTAGACTCGCTTCGCAACAACAGAAAAAGACGAATTCAAAACACAGCCAAGCGCAAGAAAATAATGAATAAAAGGGGGTAGAAATTTTGGCATCGAGCGACCCGAGGAATGCTTCGCCCACCCAAGATCCGGGACGGAAACCTTTTAGAGAGCAACACCTCATAAAAGGACTCGGCAACCGGCGCAGGCGGCAAATAATACACGCTTCCTCGACAGGGTGGCCACATGAGGGATGATGATGATGATGGAATCATCAGACAATAAATGCGAAACCCCCTTCTGTTCGAGATACTTCAAGAGAGGAATGCCTGGCATAGAAATTCTCTCACACGGGGTAACGCCTGAATCCGTCACACTATTTTTCTCTCTTAGTTACATTCGAGTAGAAAAATATACGTCTTCCGCACTCGGACGAAAATAAATCAGAATTCAGTTTTTTTACGGCGAAAATTCTGAACAGGTCAGTAGGGCTCAGTACATCTGGCAAGAGTTACAAAGTATGGCCTAACCTCAGGAACTCAGAAAATACTGTCGAAGCAAAGTACTGGAAGGTATGCCATCTACGGTGAAAATAATTTATATGTGCTCGGCGAGGGACAAAGAGGATAGAGGCCAAGACGAAAGAGAAATGAATGAAATTTAAAGAAAATGCTGACATAGAATAAACAAGGGATCCCATGTTTTCAAGTCAAGATGAAGACAATAAAAACAAATTGTTATCATATCTCAACATGATATTGCATGACGGATGGTATTGGGGGCTAAAATACAGAAAAGGATTTTCAAAACGGATCCACCTTAGAATTTCCACGTAAACGTGCTTCTTCAGGGGTAAAAAAAAAGTTTGACATACTCTGTTCTAATGGTTCTCATCTGCACTAGGCCACCAGCCTGCCATTATAAATATAATTCACAAAATGCGCAGGTTTTAGCCATTCAGACGCGGAGAACACACTCGTCAAATATCACGACTTCAAAGTTACTGGACACAACATACAAGAATTTTGAAAAGTCCTGGACCACAGGAGACAAATGAATTCTAAAATTAAAAATCACCGCCGTAATTGGGCAACTTCACACAAAACACCGCATTCATTGAGGTAACGGTAATTGGATGATTTTGTGCCCTTTTGTTCGAGCGAGACCGCTCGCTAAAATGCTGGAGTTAATTTTCCATTTGCAGGAAAACAGTTACAACCGTGAATAATTACCGCCTTTTATTTTTCAGTTCACAGGACTGTACTGCCCTAATATTCGAACGTCGCTAAAATTAATTTCAGGAGTTCGTTTACCCTTTTTAATTAACTTGGTAGAAATAGACACGGATTTCACGATAGCGCCAGCAAAAAACAAAATTTCTCATTCCGTAAACTTCATCTGTTGAAATCGTTTCGAGAAAGAGCATAAAAAGATACTGTAATATTGGATAGAGCTTCAAATTCGCCAACTTCGCACAATATTACCCTACCTCGTTGGTCCAAATTATTCACTTGAAAAAAAAAATTAACCAACGGGATCAAATTCGAAAATTTTCACACCTCCGAACTGCTGCCGTTTACTTACTAATTTTCTCCAAAAATAGCACGAAAATCAAGAAAACATTTCTCTCGAAGCTATGAAGATACCGACATGTATACAGGCGAAAATCTAGGAAAATTAGAAAAAATGAGTAACTTTCAGACAAAACAAAAAACCAGCGTTCGGTTCACGAAGGTTAAGATTTTGACTAAAGCATATTCCCGTTGTTATCTTAATCCGACGTACTGTTATTGTTTTTACTGTTACTGTTTTTGACACCAATTTCATGAACGCAAGTTCGTAACCTGAGGTATTTTAGCATTTCAGTTGGAATCTACAAGTCGTATATTATGGATTTCCTTGTACTTCGAGTCAATCTTATGTCCACAAATAAGAAGGCCAATACGCATTTTCAGATCAGAACTCGATACGGAGAAAGCCATGCTCATAATGGAGCTTTGCTGAGGAATTCTTCAGGAAAGAAGTCTTGGTAATGCGACTCTAAAGCCCGACTCAACACCGGGCAAAAAGAGACGGATAAGTGAATTTATTCAAAAACACTATAAGACGCACTTCATCTACAAAATTGGCTAACCAAAAATATTTTTCACACGGATGAGCTAAAATATAATTGTGCTCCTCATAACCATTTCAGAATCCTAATTTCTGCAGAAATTATTTCTAGGAAATCGAGCAGGTAATCGAAGTACAAGTCGAATCAACAAATTTATACTGTAACTCGAGTTCGTCTGAAAATTTGAAGGCTTCCTCGTCATTTTCGATCACAAAAAACTGACGCGCATTCTCAACTTATTCAGGCACTCGAGTACTAGTTCAGTACACACTGAGCCAATCATGCACACCACACACACACACACACAAAAGCATTTACGACACACGGCTAACGCAGACATATCCGCTCCACCTCCCACCGAGCTCCCGAGCAGCACGGACAGCACTGAACTCGCGGACCCGCGGCATCACCGCGAAAACTCCACGCGTTGGCTCCAACCCACCCCACTCCCCCATCCCAGTTTGCTGCTCGGTCCCGCCGAAGCCTCCCCCCACTAACTTCACTAACTTTTAGTAGAGCCGAGCTTCCCTTCCTTGCTCCACCACACTCCCGCGCACACAATGCGCGAGAGTGCGGGACAGGGGGGGGGGGGGGGGGGGGGGGGGGCCCCCCCCTGCGGGGGGGGGGGGGGCGGGGGGGGGGGGGGGGGGGGGGGGGGGGGCACACTCTCGCGCATTGTGTGCGCCAGAGATGTGGGAGTGTGCACACAAACCACAGAATCGGACTCTACACCAGGGGTGCCCAAAATATGGCCCACAGGCCAGATCTGGCCCGAAGAGGCCTTCAAACTGGCCTGCAGACCATCCTAAGAAAATTGCTCTAGCTTAAGGTATATCTATCAAAATTGCATAAGTTCCCTGTTTCAAGCAAGTTTTATGACATATTTTCACTATTTTGTTCTAAGGAACTCCAACAAATTACTTCCTTATTGCTTGCAGTCTACATAAAAAATATGCAAGAATAAGTTAATGATTCACAGTATTTCCAGAAGCTTCCCAAATTTGCAGGGATACCTCAAGTTGGCTCATCCCATCCCACCACAAGTTGAGCACTCCCTGCTTCAACTGGCACATGCACTCAGCTTCCTGTAGCAACTTTTCCCATTTTTAGGAACCACTACACTACAGTTGCATAATCAACTTATTTGTAGTGATTTTTTTCAAGAAAAATAATTCAGAGTACCATGCATTGTACCCTTATATGTTTGTAATGAAGTGAGTATTATGTTGTTAGTTCTTAAAAAATTATAGGGAACATTTGATTTTTTGTGCTGAGAAATATAGAGCAAGAATAAAGAAAAATACACATACAAAAGAAAAGTATGGGTTGAATTTCAGCTCTCACTCCAGAGAAACAAATTGAAAATGGAATTTTTCTTTAGCAAAAGCATGCACAGCACAAATGGGGTTTGAGCACTATCAGATGAATGAAAAATTCAGAGGGATTGGAAGGTAAACAATGATCTTCTGGTTAAAGAAAATAATTAAAGAACAATTTATTATTCAGAACAGTTTGCATAAAAATGGCTGAAAGCAATGACAAAAAATTGACAATGAATGCAGAGTGTTTAATGAAGAAGGGACAAACAAATACTTCTTCACAATATTCAATGGTAAAATGCTTTGACTTGTATGTCATGAAAAAATTTCAGTTTCCAAGGAATACCATCTTTGCTGGTACAGTATTTTGAGTTCAAACACAAAGAGTTGAGTAAGTTAAATTACTTTGAGAGAAAATTGGCATTGTTGAGCTTGCTGAAAAAAATCAAGAGATTTGTTCACTTTTTTAAATTCAAAGGAGTCCACAATTTTATAAAATTGTAGAGGAGTTAATTTATTTTCACCTAAGAGCCTATTTATTTGGGTATAAATAGGCTCTTGATATTTTGCCATAAGACATCTCCATCTTATGCTAATCAGTAAAAAAAAAATTGCAAAGTGGGTACATCCAAACACGCCTCACTTCACAACAAAAAGGT